ATAGGAGTCGGTTGTTCTCCGACCTTTAGATGCTTACTGTTGGTCTTTAAGTAATATTTGTTCAAGTCTCTGCTAATATGCCACATTGCCAAAAAAAAAAAAAAAAGACAGTGAATTATGCGTGATCTATGCTGATATATTGGGACAATGCCAATATTGGTCATACTCAAATGCATACGGTGAGGAACTGCAAATAGAGCAATAAATAACTTATTATAATTACCAATTTTTAATAATCATGGAATAGGGCTTTCAATGCCTGTAATATATATCCTGCATAGGTTTAGGAGGTACAATCTTAAAGACAATACCACTATGGGTTTTTTATACCAAAGAAATAAGATGACATGTTGAGATGAAAATCAATGTTTGTCCCAGTATCTGGATAGATTACTCATTATCCTGAATGTATGAGATAAAACAGAACCAAAAAAATAAGCACTTCCATTTTTTTCACTAAATGTTAAAATTTCCTTTTAAAAGGTGAAGTATAATATGATTTTTAGTGAATGTTTATAATGTAAAGTAAGGACTTAAGAAAATAAAATAATAATTTAATCCTTTACTGTTTTCAAAATTGTGAACATTTTTTAGGAGTTGTTGTTTAATGGTCATTTAAAGATTGTTTAACTCATCCCATACATGACGCTCTTTTAGAGACCTACCTCGAAGAAAGACTGCTGCACTTGGGTGCATAAGGACCATTAACTTCCCTCTGCAGGAAGGAAAGACTTTATAACATCACTACTTTGAACAAATTAAGTAATCAGGTATTTACATTGCTGTCAACTGCACAGTTCATCCATTTTTATTGTGCTTGAAGTCTCTTTTTACATAACTATTACATGTACAATTTATACGTTTTTCAATTAAAATTTTAACTACAGTATTTGTTTTTTTTTTATGTTGTTCTGAACTTTTCTCTTACCACAAAAAAGCCTTAAATCAGAGGCGACCAAACTTTGCTGTGTTACTCTGCTACTTTTCTTCAGGGCCCGCCATGATGGATTTTTAGGCTTTTCTGAGCTGCCATCAACTAGGGGTGGAAAATAAATGAATATTAATACATATCATAAAATATATCTGATTAACTTCAATAAAAAATCTATCCAATACAATTTTCAATAATTACACTAAAGTCTGATCCAGAACCAGATGTTTTTCAGAGGAATACAGGCAAAGAAAAGGATTTAGCCTTTTAATCTCTCCCTGTCAAAATAAGCAAGGTTGGTAAAGTAGCGCTGACCTATCTTCAAAGGTCAAAGGTTAGGTTTAAATAGGCTCAGCTTTACAGGATAAATTCTGGCCTTTTCGCCTGGTCTTTATTTCCAATAGGGAAACAAAAAATGCAATAATTTTTTATGCCCACTTATGTGAAAAGCTGATCTAGTGATACGTTTTTCAGCCATTTCACACAGCTCTAGGTCTGACTAACTTAAGTGGATGATTAACAGGCTTTGAGAGCGCATGATAACAAGCTAAAAAAGGTTGAGATATGAATCATGGATGCTGGAGCAAAGATACAACCCTACATTAATTTAAGGACAGTGGGCTACAAGAGGACAAGGGTTAAAAACATTAACAAGGGGATAGATTTAATGAAAATGTATGAAAACATAGATAATAGATAGATAGAAATAGAGATAGATACAGCTAGATGATAGACAGATGATAGATAAAAATAGAGATAGATAGATAGATAGATAGATAGATAGATGATAAATATAGATAGATAGATGATAAATATAGATAGATGATAAATATAAATAGATAGATGGATGATAGAGATAGATAGAAATAGAGATGATAGAGATAGATAGAAATAGAGATGATAGATGATAGAGATAGATAGAAATAGAGATGATAGATAGATGATAGATATAGATAGATAGATGTTGATACTTCTATGTCCAATTTTAAGTACTTTTTTTAGCATATAGTTCATCCGGACAGAGAAGAAAACTATGAAATCCTAGGCTTAAATCAAAACTGTAATTCCTACGCGTGTATATATATTTTTTTAACCCAGCTTCAAAAGGATCTGGACAAAAAGCCTGGGGGCCCTGTAAAAGAGAGAGAAAAAAAAGCGCACGGACTGTGGCCCCGTAATCAGAAACACAACGGTTCATAGGCTGGTTACATCTGCTGTCCCCATCGAAAACACGACCGACTTAACTAACGACGAAGCTGCATCAGTTAAAACAAGAGCTACCCGATAATTAAAGAAGAAAAAGCAGGGGGAAACTCACCATACCAGAGATCGTCTGCTTGTGTGTGTGTGTGGGGGGGGCTAACAACTCACGACGTGTTCAGACAGGCACACCGTGCACCGCTACGGCTCCCAGCGGCTGCCGCTAGTTAGAGCTCGAAGCAGCGCTGCAGCTTTTCATTCGCAAAAAACACCAATGCTGCAGAGTCAGGTGAAAAAGCGGAGCTGAAAGACAGACAGATTGGACAAAAATGGAGAAAATACGTCCGTTATGCCACCATTACCCCTTCCGGAGACCAGACGAGAACTTCTTCCTCTCATTCACCAGCGGCCCACAGCGACCCCTACTGGATGGAGAACACACCATGAAACTTTGGAAAGAGGACGACAAGAGTCACAGTAAAAAAGGCTAAATTTTCCAACCCTAACCCTCATTTAGCAATCCATTGTTAATACTGCATTTGGAAAATGCATTTTAAATCATATACCTAAATGTAGACTTAAAAATCACAATTTATTAATCTGATCATATAATTTATTTAATTTCCATTTTCTTTTTCAGCTTAAATATTTAGATCCTTTTTACCATTGAATTTTCTCTCCATTTAGCTTTTGTGTGAACCTCCTGGTCCCTGGAGGTGGGGCTGGTGGTACAAGGGGAGACCAGTTTGAGGGCTGGCTCCCATTCATGCTGTTGCCTCTCATCCACCCACTCATATTTCACATTTTGCACATCACACAATACATGGGTCTTTGGATGTGAGGCAACATGGGAGACACATTCCAGTGTCGCCCATCTGCTATACTTGGCCTCATCATGCATGTAAATTTTAATACACTTAAAGGCTGGTTATACTCCTGCAGTAGTGTGTCACAGTTAGCTTGTCGCAAATATTTTTGATTTATGCCCATTATTGAAACATGGTCTGCGAATTCCACCTGTTTCACAACACAGTGCAAGAGGGAAAATCACAAACTAGCTGTGGATCTAAATACAGCGGTATGGAATATACAGCGGTGAGGAAGTGGGGGCAGGTTTGTACGACAACGGAGGGACATGAGGGCCGAAAAAGAGCGGGGATCCAGATGGAAAAAGGGTCCCAGCGTTCTCGTGCACCTCGCTCCTTTAGCTGGTCCATTTTCATGTTATCAATTTAAAAAAAAAAAGCGAAATGGCTAATTGAATATTTGAAAGGAAATGTTAAAAATTTAAAAAAATGTAAGTGCCTGTATCACTATAGATCTTTAATGTTATGATGTTGTTATGGTTCTTCCCATTTGTTGTGACTCTGAGTTTTCAGTTTTCTGTTATCAGTTGTTTTGTTTGTTTTCCATCATATTCAAGCATCCTTGGTTACTCTCTGTTGCCCCCTAGTGCTTGTTTTCTTTCCCCTTGGATCCCCCTCTTGCCAGTTCCACCCATGCCTGCTCCTTATTCAGCTCATTAGTCCATCCTTTGTTCTGTTCTCTTTAAATACTCCACCTCTGCAGTCACTCAATGCTGGTTCCTTGTCATTACTATACTTGTCTACTCACCTCGTCTCTCCGTGGCTCCTCAGGCTCGTTTTCCCCTGATGTCTCCATGGTTTTTGGTTTGTTTAACATTTTAGTTGGATTTCTGGATTTGTACCTCTGTTTCCTGTGTTCTTCAATTAAATCTGTCAGAACTCATCTCTGCTTCACTCATCTCTGCATTTGGGTCCTCAAGCAACCTCACCACCCATTCATGACAGATGTAACAACACAAATGTCTTTCTCTCAGACTGTGTGTGTTTTTCATGAATTTCTTGTAGAAGCCCTTTTGGTTTTTTCTTAATATTTTAGGGCATGTGGCCTTGTTATTACATTGATCATAATTTTTGCCATTAAAATATACATATTTTTGGAATGTTACAAAAGTAACGGGTTAGGGTTTAAAAAGGCCTAGTCATGTAGTATGGCTATAAGAAAACAGCCACAAGCATATGTTCACGTTAAAAGAAAGAAATATTCAAACATTGGTCTTGATAGTGTTTACTACTCCTCTTTTTGCATGCTTATCTTTACATAACTGAAATTACATTTATTGTGGTTGATTTTGAATTCTTACTTTTAATGCTTATTAGATTGTTGGATGGAACATTGAACACCTGAATGCTTAACTATAATACAATCCATTGTTATTTGTGATCAGTACATGGTTGAATTAAATCTTTCAAATAACTGTAGAGGAGACAGAATGTTGCTGATGTCCATTCATTCCGTGTTAGTCCAGTTCGCATAAACTTGCCAAATAAAGAAGCACTAATAAGGAACTGCATTTCCATTACTCACATAATAATCAACAACCAGAACAAATACATTGTATAAATTAGCTTATAGTAGTAAAATAATGTCAATATGATTCTTATAATGTCTTATTTTTTATTAGTTTTAAATAAGGCTGCTATTATTAGCGAAAAATAAAGTTGCTTTGCACATGTAGCACTGGTGAAAGAAAAATCTTTTTTGGGTGCTGTTGAAACGAGGAAGACATTGCAATCTCTCCTTTTCCATTAAAACAACTGAAGAAACCCCAGTAGGATTGGGAACAAATTGGAAATATAATTAATTCAATTCAATTCAGTTTATTTTAAAAAAGCGCCAAATTCACAACACATGTCATCTCAAGGCACTTTACAGTTCAACCAGATCATACAGTAAAACTGATTAAAAGTTTTCTATCTAAGAAAAAACAGTTGATTGCATTGACTTATTGACTCGAATGCAGTCTCTCACACTAAGCATGCTTGTAGCGACAGTGGAGAGGAAAAACTCCCTTTTAACAGGAAGAAACCTGCAGCAGAACCAGGCTCTGTGTGAGCGGCGATCTGCCGAGGCCGACTGGGGTTCAAGGAGACAGAAGCAGAAATACAAAAGCATCTGTAAAAGGCGGCCCCGTCCAGGAAACACACAGCCAGGCAGACGAGCTCTGAGCCGGAGCCCACGTCAGTGGATGAAGATCTCCACCTGTTCCCATCTAATTAGTACTTAGCTCACCTGTTCATCAGCCTATTTATACCTGCCTCTGCCTTCTCATCTCTGTCAGAATGTCCTCACTGTCTCCTGCAAAAGTTGCCTGTGTCTGTGCCTGTTTCCTTCACTACTGGATCCTATGTGCCCTGCCCCTGAACTCTTCTAGTTGAGGTTGCCTTTATCTTCATGCTCCAGTGCTACTTGTTCCTCGGTGAGTCTCAGCTGCTAACTTGCCTGTTCTGGTTGTTCAACGGTCCATACGGCCTATTGGTTCTGTCAACATCTACATCTCATGGTTCTCTGCTCACCCCTGCAAAGCAGCAAATTCAACCAGAACTCATCTGCCGAGACAGTAACAGTTTGCCTGCTTTGTCTGCCATTAATTACCCATTCAATAAACTCTTCAAACGTAAGTCTGTGTCTGGCTGAACATCGGGTTCACCTACGGGAAATCGTGACAAAAGGAACATATGAAAAATTAGCTATACATTTTATGTTTAAGGCAATAGACCTGAATATATCTCAAAAATCTACTAATGTAAAAGTGAATATATATTTTTGATGATATCCTTGTATTATTTAAACTCCTGTGTTATGTAGTTTATTAAGTGTGTAACCACACCTATACAGATATATGCACAATGTTTTTCTAAATAACAATATTTATTAAGTTTAGGATCAGTTACATTTTTCTCTATTCAATTTGTGTTTTTATGTTATTACTACTGTATTACACTTGTATATGTTCAATCAAGCAATGAAGTGTTAAATCAATTAATGTGTTACAACCAACTGTATATTTATGCTTTTATTTTTAGGAATTATTTTAAACAATTTTAATGATTGGCTTAAACTGCAAATTTAGAAATTTAATTTTGTAGCTGAATGAATAAAGTCAAGTATTAAATTGTTATATTAAAAGAAAGAGAAATATTAGCAAATGAAAAATACCAAATCCGGAAACACTGAAGGAAGAAGATAAAGGGCAGAATTACACAGCAAAGTCAATAGCAGTATTGAAGAGAGATAATCAACAGGAGAACAATAACTAAACGCAGTCCAGAATTTAACAGTAAACAAAAAGATCACAACTAGATATAAGATATGATAACCAACAGGAAACTAGGAAAGTAGAGATGGTAAGAAATGGAAAGGTAAAAAGAACACAAATCAGGAAGATCAAGTTTTATCCAGATAAAACAGAAATCTACTTATAACAAACCAACTGAATAAACATTTCAAACACAAAACAAAAAATAGTTCAATGCATGGCAAGACAAAGCAAATTAGATGATCATTACTCCATCTTAATTTGCTCACAACCTGCTTTTCATGTTCAAAAATTACCTTACCAGTTTTGGTCTGCTGTGTGGAGGAGATGCGTATTTCTCTTCAATATGCCAAAGGAAATCCAAAAGACTTGATAAAAGAAAGACTTTGCTCTAGTTGCACAACAAACATTTTATTTACAGTCAGTTACAACTTTTAAATCACCTCTTTGCTTTCAATTTGCTTTCAAATTTACTTTCATATTGTGGTTTTATTCTTTATCCAGCTTCCTCCTATAGTCAAAGAAAATGACTGTTTGGTTGTGTTGTTTCTCTGATTTGCAAATAAGTATTGGTGTGTGGTTGCTGTGTGTGTCTCTGTGATGGAAGATTGCATCATAGCCGTTAGTCTTTTTGCCTCATATTCCTTGGTACTCAGGTATTTAGTCATGTTCAGTTTAGTTTTTGTTTAGTTGATCCCTGGGTTCCCCTTGTGTTACCAGTGTTTTATCTCTTTGTCCTGGTTCCTTCTTCACCATTAATCATGTTTGCTTTTCCTTTTTGTGTCTTTCCAGTTATTAATTCCTGTGGTTCTAAAATTAGACAAATAAAAAAGTGGTTTAAATACCAGGAGAAACACAATCCAGAGGCCAACACCCTGGTTCAGGCTCTCATTGAAAATCGTTACAAATACAAACAGGGTTAACATTAGTTTACCACTCTGCAGGGCTCTGTCCTGGGTCCATTTCTGCTTCCGCTTGGTCCGTAGTTGTCATCTTTTTAAGGATATTTTAAATCATTGCTACGCTGATAATATCCCTTTGTATAAAAATTTTCCACAAAATGAAGTTTCAAAACTTCATATTTTCTTAAACATTTTGGATTCAAGTAAAAGTCTGATGTCTGAAGGTTTTTTTTCCAACTAAACAAGGATAAAACTGAGATAATCATCTCTGCATCAATAAATAAACAACAAAAAACACTCCAAAAAAAATGTAGACAAAACAAATAATTGGTAAGAACCATCAGAATAACCTCAGGTTTTACCCTAGAATATGATTTATAATCTCTGATTTGTTGCTATTTTCATCATCTGTGAAATAATGTTAAACAAACCTTGTACTGTTGTATCTCATCCAGAAATGTTAATGCATAGTTTTGTTTCATATCGGCTTGATTTCTTTATAATATAGATGTTTAACTAAAACTTGCCTCATCGGTTGCCATTTGTACTTTATGCTGCTGCTAGACTCCTGACCAGATCTTATAAGTTATGTCATGTAAATCCACTCTTACTGCAACTTTATTGACTTCTGGTTCAGCATCAAGGACATTTCCAGATGTTGATCTTGTCTTGGTGAGTGTTGCATGGACATACAACTATTACATTGCTGGATCTTTACCTCCCTACACCTCCACCAGGACCTGGTCCTGTGATTAAGACCTGCAGATTTGTCCTCCATACAAAATAAAAAAATAAAAGAAACAGAGCCTTTTCTTCTGTGGCCCCAAGACCAAGGAACTACCTCCTTCCCTCTAATCAGAGGACTTAGTGGCTTCTTTTAAAACCTAGCTAAAAATGTACAGTTTGAAATATCCTGTTGCTTAAATTTAGTTTTCTTGTATTTATTTTGTGATATTTGTTTTGAAAGTTTTACTGACTAACTTACGTCGGCCCTTAAGGACTAATTTAGTAAATCTCTGTATTATTATAGAGGTAAGCTTAATCTTCCTTAAAACCAGGAAATAATACAATAGGTTGAGCAAATGGAGCCTTAAATAAACATATTTTTGCCTGGGAAATACAGGACACTACAAATGTTTGCACTGTCGTTCTGGACTCATAAATTATTTATCTTCAGACCAGGAAAGTGTTTCATTTTGGAACATCTCCAAAGCAGACACAACTTCAAATTGCTTCTACATTGTACATATTTTATAATGGAAAGAAATTGCCTAAAGTGATGCTTGGAGTTGTGGGAGTCTTCCTTAATATAAGCCATTTCCTTAGGGGATGAATTTGTTTGGAATGTCAGTCCGGGAATGAAATGGACAAAAACAGATTAAATGTTTTGCTTGGGTGGAAGGATTGATTAACAATCATTCTTTATAATTTAAAAGTCTTGCAAGACTTGAAGACAAAGACGGTGTTAAGAGCTCATTAAAGGAAGATGACACTTAATTTAAATGCAAAGATGGAGAGAGAGAAAAAAAAAGACAATGTCAGAGGTTTCAATAATTTAGCCCCACCTTTCAGTCCCTCTGGATTATCTAATTATACCAATAAATCTGGAATCTTCCTTTTAATTTAACTGCTGTGCCAGTAATAAAAGCAGGCGTACACCTATGCAGTACTGCTTTGAACTTACCTTTAAATGTATAGTGGAGAATATTCACAAATGTTTGAAAAGAACCGCCCTCTCCACGTAAAAAAAAATGCACGTGCACAACCCTGTATCCGCTCCAGAGAGGGAACACCTATTAAACACGTGGGAGAGTGGCACAGGGCCATTTCTCCTTGTGCAAAACTCTGTTTAAAAATTGCTGCTTGCATCGCTCATACATTACTTTCCAAAAGAAGATTTGAAATTTTCCACTATGACAGACTCACCACCAGTAAGTGAATAGCGAGACGAGCACATAGGACGGCCTTATGTAAATATATCACCAGAATGATTGACAATTAGGAGGACCAATTATTTTGAAGATCAAGCAGGAAAAAGAACAAGTTCTACTTTACCTTTAAATATGAAAGTGGCATGTTATAGACCAGAAGTCTTCAGTCTTCGAGGTCTAGTGTCCTCCAGCTATTAGATGTGTGTGTCCACTTCTCCACACCTGAATTAAATGGGTGAATTACCTCCTCAGTATGCAGCCTGAGTCCACCTAAAGATCAAAATATGATCAAAGTATACTTACAGAATTTGCTTTTAGTGTTTTTAATTATTTTGTTGTGCTAATAGTGTTTGCTACTCTTAGGTAATTTAAGTACATTTTTAACTTTCAGAATGGAAAGTAAACTCTACTATAATGGTTAATACATGTTTCATCCATTTAATGTATAATATGATTTTTTAATGGTTCAGCTGCTGCTCTGACCATCTGTAATTCTGCCTGAACTGTGAAAAACACACACTAACACGTTGTTATACAATAACCATTTATTCATAAACATGGCAAAGTTAGGAACGCTGCTGTTCAGCCAGAGAACCTTGAAATAAAATATAAGCAAAAACTTACAGATGGGTTCTGTTTACATGTGGAGAATAGAAGAGTTCATCCGCTGCCTTGTACCTGAAAGTTAAAGCCCGGCTAAAATTGTGGGAGCTTCACGATTCTAAATCCAGAGAATACTCCTCTTAAACATCTCTCTATTGTTTGTTTATGTTTATAGATTTTTTTTCCTCCAGTGAAAGCAGACCTGCTTTCTCTCCTTCAGCCGTTTACACCTTCTGCTGTGTTCATTTTCCTCCTGAACTGAAAAAAATAAATGTCAGAACTACATACGACACTGAAGTAAAAAGGGTCTAAATGTACAAAATCCATTTTTAAAAACACAAACCCCCATGCGCACACACATACACACACTATGGCACACATTGCTGAGCAGTGAACTTCACGGACATAAGAGAGAGGGCTTCTATTGTGAGCACAGAGCCGTTTCACACGTGTGCCTACAGGCACACGTGCTACACTCAAGCTTTGGAAAAACAAACACTTGGACAGAATAAAGATGAAATGTTTGGGTTTCGGCTCAGTGCAAGCATTATGGCTTAGGAAGCTGCAGTAAAAGGAGAACGGGCAGTAGGCTACAAAGTAAAAAACAACACGTTTTCTATCTACAGTACATTTTGAAGGTATTCGTACACCTTTTTTCATCATTAGTGAAATTACAACCACAAACTACAAAGTGTTTTATTGGGACTTTAGGTTGCAGACCATCAAAAAGTAGTGCAAGGAAAAAAAAAAATTAATTGTATTTTTTAAAAATCTGAAAGTTCTGGTGTGTTGTTTTAAAATGAGGAAACTAATTTGATACCTCATAAAATGCAGTTATACTTTTAGAAGCAGGAGTTACTTGATTGGTCAATAGAGACGTGAGTAATTCCCCTCTCTTCGTTAGAAATGAGTGAATAATTAGCACAAGGAGAACTCAAGAACACAGCAGGAAGATGAGAGAGGAGGTGTTTGGTTATAAAACTATATTTCAAAACTTTAAAGATCTCAGAAGACTGGCAGGATTATGCTGCATGGATTATTTTCTTCCACGGGGATAGCTAAAAAGGCTGAAGGCTGCAAAGATGGGAGACTGGTCCAAGTCCAAAGCGAAATTTCATTGAGAATCTCTGCTAAGACTAAAAAAAGATGTGCACAACTAATCGCCATCCAACCTTAGTGAGTTTCAGCTATTCGGCAAAAAAATAAAATTTCAATCGAATGATTTGCAAATCTGAAATAGAACTGAACCATGTTGTACAGCTGTATATGCAGCAAACTGTGGTACTAATAAGTGCTGACCTAGGACTGAATACAAACACACAGCACACTTTTCAGATTTTCTATAAATTGGTTTGCAAACCATTTTTTTCTTTTTCTTACCCTTTTCAATTAAGCACTATTTTGTGGTGGTGTATCATATAGAATCACAACCAAACAAACTGCAGTTTGTGGTTATAATGTGGCAAAATGGAGGGGGAAAAAAAGTATTCCAAAGTACTGTATTTCAACTCAAACATAACACATCACTCTCAGAGACTGCTCAACACTCTGACAACACAGTTAAGTGCTCAAAACACCTGATCATGCTCACTCTGTCCTTTTCGAATTCAAAAAGCTGTGATTATCAAACATTTTTCTCCTTTCTTCTCAGCTGTGATTTCACAAAGCTGGCAGCGCTGCGTTTGAGTGCATGAACCAGTCCGTCAAAAAAAAAAAAAGCAGCTCACTTATGTGAGCCTTTAAGTTCTCGTCTCTCTGCTGGAGATGCAAATTGGTGCATCAGAGAGTGCATGAGTGGGAACTTGTGCACTTAAGTGATGATAAAGAAAAACAGATGAGAAGTTTTTGTGCAGAAGTTCCAGCATATTCCAGCTCTAGGGAGGTCTTAGAAAGACATTAATCGGCTCAACCGATAGGTGCAGTCACCATGGCTCTCCATGGAGAGTCTTTGGAGTGAGCAGGAGCATCTTGTGGAAAAAGCTGGTGAGAATTCGTGGAACATGAGGACTGTAACCGTGCGCTTAAGCACACTTAGAAGAAGAGCACACATTGAACACAGGGTCTTAATGAGCAGAGAGGAAGGCGAGTAAGACGTGTGGGTTTAGGTCTTTGGGGCGTGACGGGCTGTGTTGTTCCCAGTTCCTTCAGTCCAAACACACAGCAGCACCCCCATGCCTTCCTTATTAGTGTGAGTGTGTTTGTGTATCTTTGTGCAAATGCTTCCCTCTACAGTCAAACGAACGAAGAGAATCCTGTCACAGGGGTGCGTGACCCCGGTGGGTTGGTGCTGGGGTTGACATGTGTGTGCGCGGGCTGTCCCGTGGGTGTGTACGCCCCCCCTGTGCTGTGTTGCGTGACCACGGTTTGGTAGTAGGGCTCCGTGTCAACGGTGGCGCACTCCTCGTAGGCGAAAGGACTCCCCGTCCCTTTGAGGCCTTTGGGCTGCCGCTTCCAGGAGTTGTAGTAAGTGGGGTCACTCATGTAGTGGTTGACAAAGGAATGCTTTGGCTGTTCGTCCTCATAGTCGCTGTCCGTTAACTGCAGACAAACACAGCAGGATACATTTAAATGTCTGGATTGTTACTGGAACATGAATTAATAGGTAACTAATAAAGTGAAAGGTTAGATTCTAGCAGTCCTGTAACAATAGCAGGTGTCTTAAAGACTCATTCCTCAGCTAATACTAGATGATCACTGGCTACACTAACCCAAAATGGCAAAAAGGTGAGAGTAAACAACCCCTCTAAACTACAAATTTATCATGTTTGAGCTGCTGGCCTCTGGGGGGCGCTATATGCTAATTAAAGCTAAGGCAATTGGACCGAAAACTTTTCCCCAAAAATCCATAAGCATGAAAACTTCAAGCATCTTTGTTCAGTTGAAGTTTGAATGGAGTCTTTTTTTTAACTACTTTTTGGTCACATTACAACATAAAACCTCAAAGTATTTTATTGAAATCTGAATGCCAGCTAACACAGTAGTTCTTAATTTGGAAGCGAGAGAAAAAAAAATTATTTGTTATAATATAAAAAAAAAAAAAAATCTACCCTAAAACAACATCCATGGTAAATATCTGAGTTAGATAAACAACCAAGAAGCCCAATGTAACTTTGTTCTGAACCCATCAAGTCATGTGACAGAATTTGTGGACATGGAAATGATGAAATATCCTAGCTTTGAAGCTGGTGTTGATGGTACAATGGAAAGAGCTCCAGACTAACACTCTGAACACATTGTTATCATTATACAGCATGGTGGTGGGAGGATTATGGAGTATCTTCAGAAAGAGCAGGGAAACCTGTCAGAGTCTAAAAGTGTTTTTTGCAAATATTTTCTTAGTAAAACATTTTGAAAAGCTTTTTTTACTTTTCCCTCCACTTTCAATACACATTATACTAATGTATACCAACTGAGGATTCTCGTCTTTTCATGTTTTCTAAAATATTCCTTGACATTAACTGGTCCTTCTTCTACTTCCTCTAAAGTGACGTAAGCTTTGTAGAAGTCAGAGTCTGTTTAACTGATTTCTAACTTCTTTTGAAGTCTCCATCTGTCTGATCAGTCCTGATCAGTCTTTGCTTCTTTTTTTTTTTGATTGACTGCAGACATGATACATGAAATGAAAACTTTGATAATACCTGTTATAAACTTTTCATTTCATTTCACAGCAAAAACGATATCTGACACCTTTTCTACTTTTTAATGTTATTTAGTTTTAATATAAAAAAATATACCAAGGTTGCTGGTGAGGTGTTACAGAGGTGTGAAAGTAGCTGAGTTTTTTTGGGATTCAAAAACATTTTCAGGTCAAACTTTTAGAATTTTGATGAAAAAATATTTTCAGAATTCTCAGTTTTTCTTTGTAATTTTTGAAGTGTAAAAAAATAAGGTTCAGTGTGAATTTGTTGCAGATATTTAATGTAATTGTTGGGCTTTAAATTATGGATAGATGGATGTTGGATGGATGGATGGATGGATGCATGGATGAAGTAAAAGAAAATGCTTTTAATTTTAGAGCTCTTGGAATATTTTATATATAAATCTCAATTTAACTATGTGATCTCAGTCAAGGAACATATTAATTAGGGGGATCCTTCCTCACCTTAAACCTAACAATTGTTTAGTCCTTTCTGTGCAGCAGTATAAAAATAATTCAAGTAAACTGCAGGACAGTGTTACACAGTCTGCAAATAAAAAGATCAGACATACGTTTTTTCATATCATTAAACCTTGTGATGAAACAGGCAGCATCCAGCACTGGCCAACTAATCTTCCTTAAACAGACACATAACCATGGCCGTTTCTCAATTCAAAAGAACGCGAGCTCGGACTCATGTTCTTGCCAAGTACATTCTTGACAAGAACACAGGAAAGTATGGACTTGGGGAGAATGGGAGCACCCACAATAAATATGGATCAATTGGAACAGAACAGTACTCGTGACATCACCACATTCAAAGCTAGTCTGGTGAGTCTGGAGCTGCATTTCACCCCCTGTTATTAATTCGTTCTACAGTGAATTCACAGCTCACGATGATGCGATCACTGTGATGCGATCTACCTGCTTACACGGCATGTCTAAAAACCACGTCAGACTCAGCTTCGCAGTGAGACGGCGCTACTCTGACTTGTCTATCTGGAAGCCAAACGAGTAGAACAGTAATATGAAGCACACTAGAGAGAAACACGCTGCCTTGGCAATTTGTGCAATTATGTGTGGTGAAATCCCTAAAAAGTAATGGTGACGACGCATTTGGACAAAGACATAGCTGAGCAAACGTGGCTACTATGGTCAATCAGTTTTACAAAAAGAATGGCCTTTGACTCGCACCCCTGCCATGCTTCTGTGTTTTCATTTGAGAAGAAGAAGAATCCTTGTTTGCACATGCCCACTGAGCGATTAGCCCTCAACGGCTGACTGAATTTGATTTGATTTTCTCCTGATTTTCTCAGGAGGTCATCATGAGAGGCTGATCGCCCCTGGTTACCCCCTGCATACTACACAATGCACTGGGAAGTTGAAAGTCAGCCCGATCAAAAAATTCTTGCCCGAGTGTAAAGTTGGCCCGAAAAGGGCTAGAAAATCATACAGTGTAAGCCTGGCTTAACATTAGCCCCGGCTGCTGATTCCCTCGGAGGTCCGCTGGTTACTACAGTCATCTCAACATCGGAACTTTTTAAAATAACGCACTAAATCAATAAATGGGCCATATAGTGACGCTCTCTTTCCTCAAATGATCTTAAAACGTACTTCAATGGAACAACAGCAACAAGAACTTTTAACTTCATACTCTGAGCTCTGTAAGCGCTCCCCTGGAAGCTGCTGCAGCTGCAGTGCATGCTCGGACAGCTCTCAATCTCGAGCTCGGACGAGTCTACTCTGATGCTTGCTCGGTAAAGAGGGAGGGGCAAGAACAACATCCGGGGACTTTGTCTGTTCTCAGTCTTGTGTTCTTGTGAATTACACCAACCAGACAGAAACAGGAGGAACTTAATCTGATACAAGAGATGAAGGTAAAGCCATATGGCAGAGACAGACAGGAGGACACAGATACCTCTGATTCAGAGACCTCAGTGGGTTTCTCTGTAAGCATGGTGCTTTCAGTAAGCACGGCTCCGTTATAGTTGTTACAGATATCCTCATCAGAATAGTGCAGCACACCTGGACTTGGCCTGGGTGGAGACCTGGACATGAATTTGGACAATAAGACTCTGATTTCTTATGAGGTTCAATGCTCTGTGTGTCTGATGCAAAGCTCACCGTGTCCCGTTCTTTTTTAAAAAAGAGTTCTTGGTGTTGAGCGTTCTGCTGTTTAATTCCAGAGAAGTAAAACCTCCGTTGTCGAGGGTTACCGACTCCTCCCCAGGAGTTATGTGCTTCCCTGCAGGATTAGAAAAAAATAAAAGAAAATACTTATCACATAAGCAGGACACTTTTTCTTTTTATCATAAATCTAATTCTTAATAACCTATTCATTCGTATTTAGGACCATATATAATGGCAGACTCAGGTTTACACAAAGCAAATTGCAAAAAGAAAATAAAAATAGAAAAAAAAATGTTTAAAGAACCACATAACTTATTTCATTCATGTCTTTATCTGCTTTTATCACCTTGAACCTCAGTTGGCACACTCAGTTTCGGCACTTATTTCGGATGTGATCAACCATTAAATAACTGTTATTAGCGGTCATCATTCCCATAGAATAGCT